CAGGAGGCTGGAGGAGCCCTTCTCCCACCCCCCCCAAAACAAGGAGAGGGGACAGGACCCCCCAGCTTCCCCCACCCCCTCGGGGCACCTCTGCACCCACATTTGCCCCCCACCCCTCACCACGAAGGTGTCAGGAGTGTCTGGGCACCCCAACACCCGCTCAGGGCACCGGGGCTGAGCCCCCCACGCGCTGAGGGCGTGGGGTGAGAGCCCAGGGGGTGCCCGGGGTGAGAGATCGAGGGGTGCCCAGGGCCAGTGCCCAATGGGTGCCCGGGCTGAGAGCCTGGAGGGTGCCCAGGGCACCCCGACCCGTACCTGACGTCGGGGCTGTACAGCGCCAGCCTCAGCAGGTACAGCACCGCGCTGCCCAGGCCCACACTGATGAAGCCAATGAGGGGAATGAGCTGCAGAGAGAAAGAGAGAGAGAAATGAAAAATACCCCAATAAAATGAATATTTATCAGGCGGACTGGAGAGTGAAAGGCAGAGCTGACACGCCGGGAGATTTACAGGGGGAATATGGCAGAGCAATCCTGTAGCCGGGCTGCGGTACACAGTGTAGCTGTCAGCTTGAGTGACTGAATTAAAAGAGGGAGAGAAAAATCGGCTCGTGCTGGAGAGGAATTGGATTTGGAATGAGAAATTGCTTCCCCTCTGCCTGTGGCTGCCCGGAGCAGGCGCTGCTGAGGACCCGGGGACCCCATTGCTGGCGTCTGCAGTGACCCTGCTCGGGGCTGAGCCTCAACTCACGATTCCTCACCGAGGTGCTCAGTCCTGGGCACCCCATTCCCGGCACTCCTGGCATTCCCAGCATCCCCAGTGCCCCGTTCAGGGCCGAGCCTCAGCTGAGGGTTCCTGCCTGAGGCCCTCGGTCCTGAGCACCCCATTCCCTGTCCTGAGCACCCCATTCCCTGTCCTGAGCACCCCATTCCGGGTCCTGAGCACCCCATTCCCGGTCCTGAGCACCCCATTCCCGACATTCCCAGGGTTCCCAGTTCTCCGGCTCAGGGCTGAGCATCAGCTCGTGGTTCCTCCTTGAGGGACTCTGTCCTGGGCAGGCTTTGTCCCTGAGCCACGCTGTGACCCAGGCAGCGTCCCCGTCCCCCCACAGCCCCCTGAGCCCTGCCCCCCTTAATCTGGGGGGGAACCATCAAGACAAGGAGCATTCAGATCCTCTTGCTGGGAAGGACTGGGACACACCGGGGACGAGCAGCTGGGGGGTCCAGAGCGGATCTGGGAGGGCACTGGGAGTGTCTCCAGCCCCACCACAGCTGCACCTGCGAGCACGAGGTGCCCTCGCTCCCCTCCCTGCCCGCAGCGGCTCCCACCACCCCTCGGCAGAGCCAGCGGTCCCACCCGCCCGTCTGCGCTGGCGCTGCCAATCCCGCGGTGCCCCGAGCGGCGCGGCCTCAATCGCAGCCGAGCCGAGGCGGCTCTGACCTCCCCCAGATTGCCGCGGCCCCCGCGCCGGGGAAGCCGTAATGAGCCTGGCGCCAGCCGTGCCCCTGGGAGCCGGGGCCTCGCCGTGCCCATTAACGGTGGCGGAGCCGCCGGAGCCGCCGGAGCCGCTTCCCCAGCACCGGCTCCGTCTGCAGCTCGGCAGGCTCAGAGATGGGGTCCCCAGACCCCCGCCAGAGCCGCCACCGCCCCGTGACTCGG